TGTCCCTGCCAAGGGATTTATCGCCCATCGTCAACGATACTGTATACATCGGATTCTCAGCGTCAACTGCTGCGGTCGTAACATCTCATTATGTTTTGGGTTGGAGTTTTATGATTAACGGCCAAGCAGAGGAGCTCGTTATTTCACAGCTGCCTAAGCTTCCTCGCAGAGGATCGGAGCGAACATTGAAGTATTTAACAATTGGATTGCCTCTGATTTGCCTGACTCTGGTTTTTGCAACAGTTTCATGGGTTGTTTATTTCATAAAAAGGAAGAGGGAATTCGCAGATGTAGTTGAAGATTGGGAACTCGATTACGGACCTCAAAGATTCAAGTACAAAGATCTGTATGTGGCCACAAATGGGTTCAAGGACAAAGGGTTACTGGGTTCCGGTGGGTTTGGTAAGGTTTATAGAGGAACATTTCCCACCTCCAAACTAGAGATTGCCGTTAAAAAGGTCTCTCATGAATCAAGACAGGGGATGAAGGAATTCGTAGCGGAAATTGTTAGTATCGGTCGTCTCCGTCACCGGAATTTAGTACAACTCCTGGGGTATTGCCGGAGAAAAGGGGAGTTGCTCTTGGTCTATGACTACATGCCGAACGGAAGTCTGGACAAGTACCTCTATGGCCAGCCGAATGTCACCCTGAATTGGAGACAGAGGTTTAGAGTCATCAAGGGCGTAGCCTCGGGGCTACTCTATTTGCACGAAGAGTGGGAACAAGTTGTGATTCATAGAGATGTAAAGGCTAGCAATGTTCTCTTAGACAGTGAATTGAACGGAAGATTAGGAGATTTCGGGTTGGCGAGATTGTACGATCATGGAACGGATCCACAGACAACACATGTGGTGGGTACTCTGGGGTACCTAGCGCCGGAGCACACCCGAACAAGGAAGGCCACAACCAGTACCGATCTGTTTGCTTTTGGTGCCTTTTTGCTAGAGGTTGCCTGTGGAAGAAGGCCGATTGAGCCACCAGGTGAAACAGAGGATTTGATTCTGGTTGATCTGGTGTTTTCGTTTTGGCAAAGAGGGGAGATTCTTGCGATCAGAGATCCAAAATTAGGGATGGATTTTGTAGCAAAGGAGGTGGAGTTGGTATTGAAGCTGGGGTTACTCTGTTCGCATTCAGACCCCACAGCCAGGCCAAGCATGCGCCAAGTGGTGCAGTACTTAGAAGGGGATGTTCCTTTATCGGACTTATCAGCACTAGGCCTGACTGCCAGTGGCCTAACGTTTGCCCATG